TAACTTAACGAGGCCTATTCAATTACGCCGCGTACGCTGTGGCAGCTTTTTCCCTCCGTAGTCCAAGGAACCTCGCGAAATCCATTTACAGGTTAAATCGAATAACCTATACTTTCGAGCTGACAAAGTGTTTCAATTACCGGACATAACGAAATCCGTGAATATCGACCTAGACCATCCTACGTCTCGTCAACTCCGTCACGATCCACGCTTCCGCCGATTACGAGACGGAATTCGACCATTTTCGATCGTATCTCTATCATAGAATTTCCTGAATCGCTGTGCCGACGGACGTTATTCCCATCGAATATCGTTGCAGCGAAAAAATGTTGAAAGCGAGGAATTGGCTCGCGGTTGAATTGGAAGCATCCGAGTATCCCTTAAACGTTGGCGGATATTTAGATAACAGCTTAAACAGCGTTCGTTCCAGATATCCGTGGCACGCTGGAAACGGTACCGGATAGCGGAGCCACGACACGCCGAGCGATTTTCTAGCTCGTCGATCGGCGCGATCGAGCCGTTTCCGATCGAAGCGGTCGATGGTTCGTTAAAACTGTTTCAAGATCGTCTCGGTAACCGGTCGTGACCGCGAAACGCGATTTCTGAGCGGCGTGTCGTCCGTTTCGAGGCACGGTCTGGAAAATTAATAACCGCCGGGATTCCAAGATGATCCCGGGCCGCTAGACGGGAAATCCAAAGTCCGTAAGAGGAGACGAGCAACGTCGAGAACACGCTTGTTGGATTATACGGCGCGTCGAACGGCCGTGGGCAAAAAGTGGTAGCGGCCAGTTTTGTCAGCCACGCTTCGATTGGCAAGTTGACGTTAAACAGCCGCCGCCGAGATGAATGATAGTGACAATTCTAATTAAGCGGCTACCCGATTGAGTCGGCCCGTATTAATTACCGACGGACCCGCGGCACGTGCCGCACTCCCCGTCCCACCCCTTCGATATTTCTCCTCGATGCCCATTTTCACCGACGTCTTTCGGTACCCCTCGTGGTGTCTACGGAGATTGCCAAGCTCCACGATCGCTCAAAAATTTTTATACTCGGGATCGATAGCTTTCCTTGGGGGCAATTACGATAGTTACAAATTTCGAGGCCTAAAGGTCTCCAGGTTTAAAGGTCTAGGACACCTGGAGTCGTGAGTTTCCGATTTTCTGGAACTTGGATGGTAGAGAATTCTCGCAAGCTCTACCACGATCTACGAACGCTCCAAAATTTTTGTACTCGGGTACTATAGCTTTCCTCGGGGACTACTTAGAGAATTATAAATTTCGAGGTCTAAAGGTCTAAGACACTGGGAACTGTGAGCTTCCGATTTTCTGGTTTAAAGGAATTTTCCTAAAACTCGAATGTTATAGAACTCTCGCAGAAATTGGTTCACGCTATACGTGGGATATGTGAGAATTTGGAAATCGGGTTAACGTGGACTTTAATTGCAGGGGACCTGAAGAGGCGACACTCGTGGAGCAGTGAGGTCGACTACCAACCGGCGGAAACGGAAGCCGTAGCGACACCGGGTGTAGATCCCGCTGGCCTATCCTCGGACGACGAGGACAGAGGCTCGTACAAGGTAAGCCGCACGATCTCTCTAATCGCGGCCCTGAAAATCTATTCCGTGAAACACGTGCGCGGTTTAGACGCCTTAATTCCGCAGTCGGCAAACAATGTCCCCTTTGTTCCTCGAAATCACGACTCCCTGATCCCGTTCCGCGGAGTAATTAAGTAGCCCGAGGCGTGTACTTGCTTCAAATGGTATTACCCCCTCTGTGAGACTTTTTCGTGGCATTTTTGCAACGATGCACGGGAATCAGTCGATTGAAACGGGAACGCCGATAATTGGCTTTTATGTGGTTCGAAACGTGGATCGAATTAGCGATCTTTAGCGAGAGCAGGATTTAATTATTTTACACACGATCAGGCATCTTGCGTAATTGATACACGCGTGTATGGAATAACAATTTCACCGGCTGCTTCTTTTTTGCAATCGTAAGAAAGATTTCGCCTGGACTAACGTCCGAGCCCGTAAAATCGTTATTCCAGTCGGCGATATTTATTTTCCCCTCTGTACCCGAGCCCTCGAAATTACAGGTTAAAAAAGCTTTATATTCGCAAGATTTTAGGACCTATCTCTCTCGCGCCATCTATCGTTAAATCCACCGCGAGGGGTCGCCGATAAATTTCTTACTTTTCAATCGGACATTAAACCGCCAGTCTATCATTAGAATTTTTATTTTCCTCCCTCTTAAACGATAATATACACGTTAAACGCGCATAAACGGGAATTTTTACCGCGAGCAACGACGAAGGGTACTCGCGCTCGTTCCCCGGCCGCCATTGCTCTCGGAACTCGGATGATGCACGAGGGATGCATTGTCCCTGGAACTTGACCGCGCAACGCCACGATTTCTGCAGTTGCAGTTGTTAAACCGAGCCTCTCGGGTTTTACGGTGCACGTTGTCTGGCCGCAGTAGTAAAAGGAAATGCACCGTTGCACCGCGGCCGTTACGCATGGACCGTCTCGTGCGCAATGATCCGCTTGTGCATATAAAACGTAATTTTGGTTAAACGCCCTGCGCTCGTTCCGTCGTCTCATCGCGTTCCCATCATTTCCATGGGAAAAATGCCTCGCCCTGCCCCCCTCGGCCCGCTTTTTGCCTAAGTAACCCTGGCGGTTTCGGTTTTGCGATCTGGCCCTCGTAAAAAGCCCAGCCTTCGACCTCTCTTCTTATTCTCCCGGCTAAAACGCAACGCGGTTCCCCCCTTTCGCCCCCCTACTCCCTGTAACGATCTCCGCGTTGCGTATTTTCGGGAATGCACTTAGCTCCATTAGGAAGAATTTGCGGGGAATAATTCGTACCCTGTTTCACAGTTTCGCGAGGCTTTTTACGAACCCTTCGCGACCCCTGCGATTGCCCCCCATCGAATTTTCGTTCCGCGACGTTGAACTTACCGCGTTTGGTCTGGTGGCCGATGGAGCAAGCAGTGGGAGATGAAGAAACTGAGGAAAAGGAATAAAAGAAATTTTTTAGGTTAGGAAATATTGTGATTATGGGTTCTAATAGTAAAATAACTACGATAATAGTTTCTGTCTTTGAGTGCTTCTCTGGGGAGACTGGTCGACTCGTGAGAGGGTGTCGCGAGGGTACGTGACCCCCAATTCTTATCTAACGTTTATACGAGTGACCAAAGCTATAACATCGAAGTTTGAAAATAGTCATTTAAATCGTGATAGGTTTAATATTAAATTAATTAAGCGTGATTTTATATTTTTTTTTCATTTCGAATGTTGAAAAGATAAGTTTAGCGATACACAAAAATCAATCTGGCATATAAGGTGTGAATAAATTGGTTTATAGGATCTAAATTTCGAGAACGAATTTTTATATAAACATTAAATAGGAATTAGGGGTTTGGGCGAACCATGTCACGTACCCTCTTGACACCCTGTCACGAGTCGGTCAGTCTCTCTAGAGAAGCACTCAGATAGTAACTACTATCGTGGTTATTTTACTATTAGAATCCATAATCCCAATATTTTCTAACCTTAAAAATTTCTCTTATTCTCTCTTTCTCTTATAATAATTTAATTTTATACCAAATAACTAATTTAAACTGGCATACGATAGAGAAGAGACACAAGGAAAAGAGAAGAGTAAAGTGTTGAATATTTTAAACATTTTCATGACACATCTAAGAATTATTGCGAGTGTACTATAGCACTGTGTACCATGTCTTGTAAACCCTTGCTCTAAAATAAACTAATTCAGGAATCTCTGCAATAAATTATTAGAATTCTGGGTTCTGATAGTAAAATAACTACTCTTTTTTGAAGTCTTTTATTTCTTAAGAAAGCTATATGTTTCTTCTAATGCTTCTCCTGAGAGACTGACCAACTCTTCTAAAACACATTTGCAGTTGTACCCAACTCCTGACAGAGTGTCAAGGCTCCCAACTCTCATCGAAAATTTATATAAACGTTCATTCTAGGAACTCATACTCTAGATTGATTTTTCTCTACATCCAAACTTATCTTTTCAAAGTTAGGTATTGGGATTATGGGTAAAAAGAAATAACTATCGTTATATTATAATTATCTTTCTTCTCTCTTAAGGAAGGTATATCTCAAGTATTCTGACTGTCGGCATAGAGAGTGAAAACTAGAGCGAAGAAAAGGGGTATGCGATTGCAGCTCGTCCTGGTCCCCTACTTCTTATCTAACCTGTAAAATAAACACTTCACGCATTCCTGGAACCTCTTCGGCGCCTAGAATAAAGATATATCTGTTTCTCTTGACAGATTAATTTTCGTATATTCGATACGTTAAGACGTGTCTTATTTTCAACATTAGGAAAGTTGAAAATCGTTTAGGCTGCAATTCACGTAGCTGTTAATTTCGTAATTAACTTGCTCTCGCTCGTAACATTGCAACGTGACCGAAACCAAATTTAACCCCTTCTTGCGATGCTATTTCACATGCACGTAAAGACCATCGACCGATCCTTCGAATGAGCGCGCTGCTGCCGCAACGCAATATGCAATTCGCGTGCAACTGATGAGCGAAGAAGCGGAAATCGTGCCGGAATCCTCGTCGCGCCGCAAAGAAGCCACCCCGACGCTTCGAAAAATTCCCTTCCAAATAAAGACCCGGTGGCCGTTGCGTGCACAGGGTGGTTCTGGTTTTTCGACGCCGTCCTTCGCCGCGGGATCGTTTACGAGGCGCGCTTGCACGGCTTCTGGAAGACAGGGCGGCTCGCGACCAAGGGAACCCGTAGGAAGAGGAACGGCCGACATAAACGGCGAAGCGCCTCGCGCTCGTTACACGCGGCTGCTCTAAAAATCAAACGAAACGGCCACGGGTTTCAGGCCGCGCGATTTTCTCCGCGGACCGATCCTCTTCCTCCTCTTCTCCGCTTCTTCTTTTGCTCCTCGCTCGCGCACCAGCGGCGGGTGCTGCCGCTTCGCGGAGGCGCGATCGCTTCCGAGAAAACCGGCGGATTTCTCGCGCACGAAATACGACTAGATGCACGGAGGTTTATGTAGATGCTTTGTCGGTACGGCTCCGCTTCTGGGAACAACGCGGACAGCTACCGCGGGAGGATTGATCGGCGATTGACTGATCGTCTTGTAGAGGCTGGTTTTAAGGGCGCGTTGATCGCGGTCGCGGAGTGTAGCGCGCGCCTAGCCTCGGGTTTTTAGCCGCTAAATGGGGTAATTGTACGCTTCGAGTCGCGCGAGGTTTCTCGAGGCGGTGAGCCTCGTGTGAGATATGGTTATAGCGGTGGCGGCCAGGTTTTTCCCATCCGGCGGACTTTCTCGGTGTGCTTATGCATTCACCGCGCGAGTAATTTTATACCCCGCACTTCGTTTTCCACTCTCGATCACCGTGTTCCAGTCTCATTGCGAACTCGCCCGAAATCGAAAATTCACCATCTACGGCGAGAAGGATCGGATCGGGGCCGAATATTTGCAGAAAGGTTTATTTCCCGGGGTCTTGTAAAACTCGACGGATCAACGGAACGTGCCTTTACGACTAGCCCGAAGCCACCTTTATTGATAGCGCATCAGAGTTTACACGCGGAACACCCAACGGTCCCGTGTCTTTCATTAAGCATCCTGTCCTTTCAGACGCGAACCCGCGTAGAACCGAGGACGACGACGTGGCCAGTCGTGGAATATGACGTAATAAATGCATCGGCTAGAGTTGGGCTCGGTTTTCTAGCCGGCCCCGGAATTACACGACGGATCGCATGGCAGGCCTCTAAATCAAAGTCGAGCAGCCTGGACTTACGAGCGTTAATTGCTAGACTACGCGCCCAGTCCTCCGAAGGGACTTTATTGCACCGGAAAATCAGACACGGTACCGTTAGCGAGCATACGCGTCGCGGCCATCTGCGTGGCACGGCAAAGAGCATAAACGTGTAAATGGCTGATAATAATCCGGTCGGAGGGGCGCTGAAGGGGATAACGCGCGCGTTCCACCGCGAATAGTCGCGTGAACGCGAGTTTTACGAGCCCGTGGGCCACCTTTCTTCTGGGCACCTACACCGGGTTGCACGAATACAAAGGAATCCGTGATTTCATCGTGCGAGTAAGAATGGAACTCGACTCGTGTCTGGAGGGGATGATGTCGGACTTTTAAGGGAGTCCTGCACAGGCCCGAGAGGATTCGCTCGTTCCGTAATGCCACAGGTGAACGTTCCGCCATGGGGGATTTATAGCGTCGCTTTTAACGACGTTTTCACGACGTTCTCTGGAAAATTTGTTTATCCGTTATTACCGCGGCTTGATCCGCGGTTACCGTCCATCTCGGGGAGAAAAATAACGATACAGAGAGGAAAATTATGCCGAGTTTCGAGAGATTTAAAGGACATCGAAGGGTACTTTATTGAGGATTCGAGATGACGTCTGCAGGCGGGAAAAATTGTTTCAATAAAATCATAAAACACGTGACACTGTCTCTTCGTATCCTCTTATCGTATCCTCGGCTGATTCGAAGGGGCTGTAAATAATCCTGACGCATCGTCTTTGATACCCGTGACGCGGGTATTAATATAATTTAATTCTATCGCA